AAAAAAAAAGAGAAAAATAAATGGAGGCCATAGAGAGGTGCCACATCACCTTGTCTATGGTCCTCATTTATATATATATATTGATTTGTTATTTTTGGTATTTATTTAATAATGTCTAATTAGAATTTGTTTGTCTTAGCTCATATCGGAATAAGTCAATTCTAATCCTAGTTTTATCTACTTCTTACTATTATAGATAACATCTATAAAGAAATAGAGAAAACTTGCAAGAGTTTTTGAGTTTATAAATAAAATATTTTCATTCGCGGTTCATACTTTTTGCAGAGAGATATGGATGCCGTTGTGGACACATTGGACAAGAAATATGATGAACTTTTAACAGCACTAGCCATTGTGCTAGAGACTAATGGTGGAGAAAAGCCAGAAGGTGTAGATCCATCTCTTGAAAGTTTCAAAAAGAGTTTGTTATCCTTCCAAGCTTATTGTGATGAAGCACATGGGTTTGTTGAGACTTTGAAGCATAATGTAGGATGTGAAAAATTTCCAGAACTGGTGATTGATAGTGATTCTATTCCTATTAAGATCGATGATGAGAAAACATCGAAGACAGAGATATGAATGCATCAAAATTTTAGAAGATCGTTGAAATATTCCAGATAAATTGTTATGAAGCGCCATTAGACTAGCTAGATCATAATGGACCTTTTAGGGTCATTGTGTTAGAGGCTTAGAGCAAAGTAACTTTTTAGTTTATTGAACAATTCACAATTTCACATTACTTGTGTTGTTTTTGAGATAATAGAATCAAGTCGATAATGTTTTTGAATATTTGATTAAATATAGTTTATTAACTATTGTTTTATTTTAACAACATTTGTTTACTAACATAATGCAATCTTCTTTTTTAATCAAATGGTAGAAATATCTTAAAGTTTATCTTTTTAACCGTAACTTATTGAAGAGATTTCAACTTCTAAAAAAAATAAGAAATGATATAGTCATGGTCCGTTGCTATTGTTGCCAAATAGGATTAGTGGTAACTTTTTCACGTTTGGAGACTTAAATTAATATGAAAAAGCTTATTTGCACTTAATATTTACACTAAATCAATATGATTTTTATTAATATATGATTTAATGAAGTTAAATGAATAATAAGTTTCAACAACACATGACATGCATGTATTGATTTGATGTAAACATCCGGTGTGAATAGATTTTACCCTAGTAATATTATTACTACAACAACTAACCCGCCTTAATTCTAACTAGTTAGAATCGATTCAATTATTTCAAAAGCTCAATTACTTTTTTGATTGAATAGATCAATTTTTTTGGAATTCTAAGTTAAAACGGAGAAAAAGAATTTGATTCAATCATTTCAAAAAATCAATGATCTAATTGACATAAGATTCCACTTCCAACCAATAGGAATGATATATCTCCAAATTTTGTTTTTGAAATTTTTTTAATACAAAAAAGTGGTTGCAATTTTTTTTTATTTTTGGCTCTTTTGAAAGATTGTGAACGTTTATAATTTGTAGAAACAGATCATTTTTCATTTTTTTGTTGTTGCAAGAAATGCTAAAACCCCTTAGTTTTAAAATCAATTGTAAAAACTTACTGGAAAAGAAATGCCAATATCTCAAGAAATTATTTTCCATGTATAAATACAGACAAATGAATAGCACAAACAAAACTCATCTCTACTTGTTAGATTAATAAGGTTATGCAGGAATTTTTAGTATAATTATATAAAATTTAATTGTGCAGATTTAGTTATTCATTCTTATATTTTACATAAGATAATTAATTATATTAATTATTTATACATATATAAAATTTATGGATTAAAATCGATAAGAAAATCACGATATGTTGAATTTTATGCCTAGAAATAATATTACTACCAAATATGATCTAAATGGAATCAATCACCACTTTACTAGCAAGAAAACGACTCCTCAACTCCGAATGGAATAAGTTCGATTTGGAAAATATGATTTTCAGTATGTCTTTAGATAAAATCCTTACAAATTTAATGAATAGAGTTTGTTCAATTCAAAAAGCATATTTTTCAATGTCTTTAAATAGGACCTCCAATAATATTTAATTTGATATGATATTTTTTAAAAAAAATTGAAACTTGAGATATACCATAATTTAAATATTTGTGTGACTATAAATCATTTTATTAAGGTTAAAACTGAAATCCTCAAATTATTGTGATCTTTCATGTTTACGAGTCAAGAACAGTTGTTTAAGAGGAGGAAAGAAATTATGCTACTGAGATTCAAGGGTCTATTGGAAACAGTTTTTCTACACAAAAGTCAAATATATGAATAAGATCGGCGTACATCTTATCGTTGAGAGAAAACTGTTATGTTATTGTTGTTGTTTTATCCTTATGTAAAGTGATGAATTCACTGTTTGCAGGTAATTTCTTGTATCAGTTTTGTTAGAGCGGATAAAAATCCCACATTGGTGGAGAATGGACTGATGATCTCCTTACATGGACTTGGATAATCTTGAGCTAACTTTTGGATTGAGACCTAGTGTCATATCTTTACAAGTTTATTTCATCACTATGTTAGGCATAATGCGATTTATGTGTAAAACTAGTCTCTTCTTTTATATATATATATATATATATATATATATATATATATATATATATATATAG